TTCTTTCTTTCTTTTCCTTTCTTTCCTTCTTTTCATGATTCAATTTCTTCTTCATTACTCTGAAAAGAATTGGTTTATCTTGTGGAATTTCTTGAATTAATTTCATCATTTCAGAAAAATCATTTTCATTATTAATTATATAAATTGTTTTTCTCTTCTCAGAAGATGGAACAATAGCCTTGATCTTGAAAGTGGATAATAACACTTCATCAGAAGAAGTAGCAGATGACAAATCTTGAACAAATTCTCTAACAGATTCATTCAAGCCTCCGAAATTAATTAATTGGAAAACCTTTTCAATACTTTCTTCCTTGTTCTTTCTCATGATTAATTTACCAGTGAGAGTATTATTATTATTATTATTAGTACACATTTTCTTTCTTATCAATTGTTTTAGATTATTATTTAAATAATTGTTTGATTTGTTTTTTTTGTTGTTGAAAAATGAAAATAGAAAGTGCGGGAAATTACCACAATAGCAAAGTTCACCATCTCTCCAATAATAGTTTTTTTGTAAGGTTACAATAACTTTTAATGTAGGTTGGTTGTCAAACATTAAAAGTCCGACCATCTGGTTCAATACCATGATTTGTTTGCATACTTTCATAGATTTGAAATCCTTCCTTAATTAATCCACAATGACTACATGCATTCAACACTGCAGCAAATGTGGTGCCATTAGGGGCTATATTCATTTCTTTGAATATCCTAATAGCTTCTTTACCCTGCCCATTCAAAGTTAATCCAGATATGAGAATGTTGCAAGTGATAATATTGGCTTGATTTCTTAATTCTTTATACAGTTCTAGAGCTTTTTCAAAATTTCCAACATTCAAGTACATATTTAGCATATTGAAGAGTTGTATATTTGGTTTATGTCCAAAATCTTTCATTATATGTGAACTCTACCAGCCAATTCTCTCATACTGTACTGGGCACAGAAATCAATAAAAGAAGAATGAAAAGTTTCCTTCATCGTGATGATTATTTGATGCAATTCCATTGTAATTTTCATAATGATCATGATTTAAAGAGACCCCCCGGAAGAGTTAAAGCAAGCATCATCAATTAGAATTCCTGTCAAATGAATATCAAAGAGAATATCCAGAGCCCTTTCAAATTGCTTTTCTGAGAGAAAACACTTGATAAGACATGTATAATGGAAGATATTTGGTTCAACTTCATATTGTTTCATCATTTCAAAATATTGTTGACCCTTTACACTATCGTCGTTTTGCATGTCTTTGCACATTGTTAAAATAATTGTAAATGTTTTTTCATCAAACTTGTAATTTTTCGTATTTTCATAGAATAGATTGAGAGCATTATGAATTAAACCATCCTTGTAAAGAGCTGACAATGTAACATTTAACACGGCCACATCTTGTCCATTGTACCCACCAAAAACATCCAATACTGCCTGGGACTGATTGAACAACCAAGCATATTAATTAATGACACTACCAGAAAGGGATCAGACAAAAAAGAAGGTAGATTTTCAACAATTTCTTGATGTAAACTTTTGCATCATACAA